TCTGCTAGAATCGTATAATGATTGCAAGGACATGATGTTCCTGAAAGTCAGGGTCTACGCGTCAGTTTTCTTGATTCGTATTGCATGTGCAGAAGTCCTCCTTGACAAGCCAGTGGGATGGATTCACTTTTTCGGGGTTCGAGGTGTAAGATTCAGTTTCTCAGGGATAAAGGGTCAGTGTTCACGTAATATATAGGCTACCTTTCAGAGTCCCGAAAGCTACAGTATGACCATAACATGAACAATAGGAAACCTAAAAGGCATCCTGGCCAAAGGCCACCTGAATTGTCGAACAACGCGCTGCGCGCTGGGCTACTGAACAGGCCATGCTGGAAGCTATGGTCCTGTTTTGCTACCTGTACAAAAAAGTAGTTTGGGTACACAAGTGACAATGAGAATTTCTTTCGAAGACGGGCCAAATGTCTAGACTCGCAAGCACAACCCCCACAGATTTCTCAAATATTGTCCACCAAATAAGTCTCATAAGTTAAGTGCGTTGAAGCGCCAAAGTTCAATCCAATCCATTGACATCACGTTCACGTAATTGCCTGGTTCTGAAGCTGCCAAAATGCTATACTGGCTGCAGTACAGCATGTTTCAACACACCTCCCTTATCAGGATTTGTCGTGCAGCTACCCCCTCGAGCATGCAATCCACACAACCTTTGTCTGACCACCCATGTCGCCCTTTTCCTTCCAAGCTAACCGGCCTTGCGAAAACCATTGTCCCTCAGGGCGAGGATCAACACAGCAGCTGACATGCACTGGGCCGAACGGCTGCCAGCAGTACATGTTACTACTCCGATAGCACTTTCACTACCAGTGCCACTAGCACTAGCAACCCTGCCGCTACCCCGACCCCCAGCCCCTACTTCTAGACACACAACTACTACGACTACTGCTACTGCTGCTACTACTCCTCCTCCTGCTGCTGCTAACACTACCATTATGTCTACCATGACGTCGACGACGACCACCTGCCAATGTGATATTCTTCCTTGCAACAGTACTGTCAGGACCTGAGATTTTTCTGGCCGCGGTGCGCCCTCTACGTCATTTTTGTTATGCTTTTTAATGCACCAGTACACGTTACAACTTGAGCGCTGCTCCTACAAAAGAATCGCTGCTAAGGCATTGGTCTCTTCTATGGCATTGAAAGGGAACTTCTCAGAAGGGGGGAATCTTAGGGAGGGTAGAAGGGTGTGCATCAATAATTTTGTGGCGATTCCCTTGTAGGCTGCAGAACCACGATCGATTTGCATTCCACTGAATCACAGGCGCAAAGGTTTACCTTAGTACCAGCTGGTTTCTCCTTGGAGCTATGCTCGAACAAGTAAGTTGTTGTATATGGCTGTACAAACTTGTAAGCAGCAGTTGCAGCTCCAAAAACATGACCCCGATGACCCCAGTAGGTCAGACGCCCAGCATAGTGCTCGCCTCAAGTGCTCCCCGCTTAACAAACATCGAACTTTACAGGGGGCCTTCCATTTTTGTTTGTTCCAGGGACTAATCGCTCGGATTTCTGCTTCCAGGTCTACTCTTAAGTTTTGGCAGAACTCTTGGTGCTTTTGGATGAGACGAAGAGCTAGCCACCACTCAAAAAGGTCTGCGCCATATCCGGAGGGTTTGTTGGTAATTTTTCGATTGAGCCGACCTAAGCCAGAAAAAAACAGATCGCGCCCCCGCCCTCCCAATCCGCCGGTGTCAAGACCCGACAGCTCGTGTGACACCAGGGTCACACATATTTTTCTACACAACACTGGGTTCTATGCTATATAAGTTCATAAAGTCCTGAACAGTTTGCTGGCTCCTTGTTGGAATACATTTCTACATTACTTTTGGGGTTCTTCTATGACAGACAGTAGTCCGACTATTCAACAACTTTGACCTAGTTTGTGCGCGGCTGTCGGACTGGGGGTAGATTGGGTCGTACGCGGTGTAAGGATTTAGTGTTGAATGCTTAAATAACCTATATAAGTGCAGTAGCCGAAGGCTGCCACTCCTCTCGAGCCGCACAAGGCACGCCCCCCCCCCCTCCCCCCCACGCCCCCTTTCCCCGAATAGTGCTACAAGAAAACCCCTGAACATCATCTACTAAACAACTTCTGACCTGGGAGCTACCCAAGGTTCTTTCGAAGCAAACAACCCAAGAATCGGCAATGGCCAAAGGCACTGAAAACAACGCCAAAAAAAGAGTCTTCTTGTGCGTCCTGCACGAACAGGAACAGGTCACAGCCCAATCACCCCACAATGAAACGGGAGTTTGCATAAGGAGGGGGCCCCAGTAGAAACGCCAAAAGGGAAACCCCCAAGTGTGGTCTTGAACAAACACGGGAGCGCTCAAGCATGGCTCTCTTCTTCCCAGAATTCCCCTAGTTCGAGCTGAACCCTACACCCTCTACGCTGAAAATGCCTCCTGACACGCCAAAACTCCGTCTGGCCTCAGAAGCCGCAAGTCTTTAGGTCACAAGCATTGGTGATGGTGATGGTTTGTGCGGAATTAAGAGTTGAGGGGGTGTAGGGTTAGGGGGTCGGCTGCGGAGGGCGGGTTTTGACCTGTAACCCGGGCATAGACTAGATTCCGGGCAAACCTGCCTGGCTGGACGCGTCCTACTCTCTTCTTTATGTAGATTTCGGGTTTAGAGGGACATGCTGCAAGAAGGGGCGAAGATCAGATTCCATCTAATGGACAATCAGCTTAGGGCTCTTGTGCCTACCTGGAAGCAGCCCGCCGACCAGAGTTAGTTAGCTTAAGCAATCAAGAGGAGTTCCAAGATTCCGGCTTCAGGACCCATGTGGAACAAGATGTCGTTTTTGGGCTAAAGCTCGACGTGGTTACACAGTCTCAGCCTGGGTTGCTCGAGCGTTCAGAGGTTTATCAAAAGTCCTGTATGCACCTCAATCTAGTTTTTGCGTAGTGGAAATAACATTCTGTGGGGTGTGTAGTGCACCCTTCTCTTCAAACACCAACCTTTTGCGTTAGCTGTCGGTTTCACACGCGGCCATTCATGCAGACACGCTTCGCAGCGCAGGCCTCTATAGCCCACACGCACTACTCCTGCCATCATTGTCCGTATTCCGTCAATCAGTGTAGATTCGCAGTGTCTTTTTCAACCACATGTCTGATTCTCTGGCATTCTTACAGTTCAGGGCGGAAGCAGTGTGTAAACCATCTTGTCATTTTCTACAGCGTGCCCTTCTATCCTGATTCATAAACCGCGTTGCAAACCAGTGGCTCAGCAATCCTTGCCCGACTATCGGATGCCAGTAGTCGATAGTGACTATCGGCTACTGGCATGTCCTCGTCACGGAATTTGTGCAGGGAGATTCTTGTGTAATGGCTCTTTGCTTTTCAGGGTCTGTAATACGGAGATTAGAACATCTCAAGGACACAAACTAGGACTCTGTATGCTTTATACCCTGTATACCGGTCATGACTATAATGGGTCCCAAATTGTGAGGGGTAGGGTCATCAAAAGTCTTGCCGGAATCGTTCAGACATTTTTCCTTGGCCAAGTTGCGGGTCATTAAAGCTAGTCCAAGCTTGTCATCATAGGCTTGTAGAGATGGACCCAAAGACCGTTCTACTGCAAAATCGAATGCTTCAAGCTGAAGCGTTCTATGTGCCATGCTGGGTGGTTGCCATATTCTTCGATCTTTCAACCGTTCAAGATTTCAGTCTTGTGGGAACTTAGGAACAGGGCAGCGTCGATGGCTTCAAGGGTGAGGCTGTTGGCAGGGCTTAGCCAGGGTAATAATACACGTGCATGCAGATCCCAGCACACATAAAGATACAACAACAAGGGGCTGCCAGCGGCCAGTGTCCATAGCAGTGGTCTTCATAACAATAGTTATAACCAGAATAGCAATGATATAATAGCAGCAGTACTCATGATGGAAGTAAACTTCGTTAAATACGGAAACGGAAAATCTTTAGAGTAGTTATCCTACAAGTCGCAATAGTTGCCCCTCAGCGCCTAATTCAGTTTCTTGGGGAGAAAGCCCTTCGGCGGATCTTACAGCCTGCAGGCAGTGAATGGAAGAATGGCCCCCTATAGTATGGGCCTGACTTAGGGTATATAGAGGGTAAATGGAAGATCTAGGTATACAATCCCCACAAGTACAATATTTTCCATGCTCTTCCTCTTTTCTTCATTTCTTACTCACAGCCGGCAAGAAAGATCCTCGGATCAATGAGTGGCCCTTGAGAAGTTCACCCATGCAATCCCAAGATCAAGTCTCCGATAGCCAGATAGGTCTTCTCTTCAGGTCAATCTGTTGTAGATGAGTTCTTGGCAAATGCGGTCTTGGTGTGTTCCTCTGTTGCAACTTCGCGCTTGCAACGCTAGAGCAGAGGAATGCGTATTCAGAGTTGGGGGTTGCGACGTGACAACCTATCGGATCATTTCAGCAGTGGAAATAGACAAGTGCTACATAATCCGAAGAGCTCCTGTAAGTATTGAGCTCGAGGGGATATTCAGGAACATATTGCCAGTTATCATACAATCGCAATTTTGGACTCGGAGCCAACCTTGCCATACACTCAGGGTTATCTTCCATTATGATGCGTTATAATATTTTACGGAGTATGATACTGTCTAATATTGCATTTTCTTATGTATAGACAGGACTGAAGGCTTGGAAATTGCTAACCTTATGGGCTGGAAGCGTTTGAATGGTAGCTAGGCGGCCTTGAAAATTGAAGCCTGAGCGAGACAATGCTGTGGATTTCACTCCAAGTGTCCTCTATCCAATCCTGCTGTGACCGATACACTTCAGACTAGACACAGTGATAAGTGATAATCATTGGGACTGTGGTCTTTACAGAGCCCCTCCTGGTGGGATTTTCATCTCCAAGTTTGGGCTACATTACCGCTGCCTTGAAGCTCTAGCCCTCAACCCTGCAAAAACCTAGAATATCCCTATAATAACCCCTAGAATATCCCTATATAACTCGTATATTCCAAAAAACCAAACCCCGCAAACATTGTTTTTCTCGCATCACTCGTCGGACTCCGAGGCTGTGGAACCTCCTGACTCGCTGTCGTAGGCCGCGGTGCCAAGGAGCCTGGAGAAAGCATCCTACCTGAACCCCAAAAGTATGTAAAACAATGACCTTTTGGGCTGATCTTAGGGGTCTTGGGCTATTATCTTGCCTACCTTAGGGGCCCAGGTAATGCTTGTTTGCTTCCCGGTCGATAGTTAGTACTGAATGGAAACGAAAATGGGAGCTACTACAGGGGTTAGCGTTCTCCCCTACTCACAAGTGGCAATGGTGACCCGGGTCAGGGCTCCCTAGACCCATGTGGCGCATGTGACGTGCTGGCACAAGAAAAGTTTGACTGGAATTAACATGAACCTGTCCGCCAATCATGGCACTGGATCCTACCGTCTCATGGCAATTTTATCTTCATGCCGTTCAACAGGATGGCATAATTCATCGTACGCAAGCTGTGCTGCTTGGGAAAAATGTTGCTAGGGTGAATGCTACTTCCGCAAACCTCCGCAAAACCCTTCCTTGAAGTCTTGGGTTAAGCCCCGTCCAGGTTAGAAGTGGCTTAACTACAGTAGCGGCCTACTTAATTGGAATAGGATTTGAGGGTACATTCTGCAATAGTCACAAACGATTAGAATGGCAAACGTTGGAATAATTGTTCGGCGTCTACATTCGGTTCCCTCGTAACCCCAAACAGGTCTTAACGCAAGTGAAATCAAACATGGACCCCATGCACTTGCTGCTCCTCAGCAGGGTTGTGACATCAACTTACGTCCTGTAAAACCCTGTGAAAAATTCAGGACGAACATGTCCTGCAATGCCTTTGCAGTACTCGTGTCGAATCTATGCTGTACGCTGAAACACTTCCTGGACCAAGAAACGGATTGGCGAGCCGCTGGCGCTTCTTCGCCGGTGCTCCACATGTTGCGCTTTGCTTTACCAGCCTGTACTAATGCTGCAGGGCTATCACCCAATAGTCACCTTATATATATATACACAGAAGTATACATATCAGTTTACCTTAGATACCTCACACCTAACAATTGTCAAACATGAGCTGATATCTAGTGCTTTGGGGTGCTGAAGCATCGTGGGAAACACATCTGTGGTATATAGGCTTCAGGTCCTGGATTCCTGTTTGAGGACTTAATTTAGGGGCTGACAGCTGAGGGTTTGTGGGACTTTTGCGCTTTGGGCGTGAGATTTAACATTTAGGGCTCGCGTGCACACTTTGCAGAGAGTGTGACAGCACGAAAGAAAAAGGGATTTTAGTCACCCCAACCCCTGAGACGCCCCAGGCGGACAATCATGCGCTGCCGATTCATGCAAACATGCGGAAATCACAGACCCTGCCCATGGTCACGAGCACACGAGCAGCCGCAAAAACATGCGGGACTTGTTATCCCGTATGCAGTCGAACTGGACCTTCTGATCCTGTGGGCATGGAAGCCCTTGTATCCTGTATGCGTTCGCGCATGGACGTTGTTCTCCTTTGGGCATGGATGCTCTTGGTTCCCGTATGCAGTCTAACATGGATGTGATTTCTTCGGGCATAGATGCTCTTGCTTCACGTATGAAGGTGGGCATGCGCACAAAATGATGACCACGCCAGTATTGTTTTTAGCCTGTCTACAAGAAAAATGCTTATCGTTTGGGCATGGATGCTCTTGCTTTCCCATACGCAGTTGAACTTGGACGTTATTCTGCCTTGCGCATGGACGCTCTTGCTTCGCGTATGAACATGGCCATCTGCACGAAATGATGGCCCGCCACTACTTTTGAGTCCTTTCTACCAAAAAAATCTGAAAAAAAAAACACTGCGCCTGTCAGCACTTTTGCGCTCCTGACCCCTCTTCTAGTCTCGCGGGAATAGGCGACGGGAGGTATAACCAGGATCCTGTAGCTGTCTTATGATAGCTATAGGGGGTTCTGATTTAAGAGGTTGGCGGAACACAAAAACATTTACCTAATTGGCGTTGGAATTTCGCGACGGAGGTTAAGATGTCCGCCGATGGATCATAGCGGTTTAGTACTAACACCCCCCAAAAATGTATCTGTACGTATTAAAGAATGGTCACTACTGCGTACACCAATTCTAAATGCTGACATACATGCGTGACCTCATTTGGTTGATTCTATAAGGGTCTAATCAATGGGGTAAAGGGATGAAAGAACTAGATGACCCATGGCTCTAACTCAAGGTCTCCCCAACTGGACACCCAATATGTACACCCATCAAATTCCGGAGCAACCTTTACATATACAATATACTCACACAAAACCATCATAAACACTCGAATTTACACATCCTGGACCCTAGTAGCTCCTACTTCATGCCATGTTCCTTCCCATTCGATTCTCCATTATTCCAGAACCCCAATATAAACCATTATGCTCAGATCCTCCCTAAACCATACACCCTAAACCCTAAACCATAAACCCAAAACCCTAAACCCAAAACCCTAAAGACTAAACCATAAACCCCAAACCCTAAACCATAATGCTCAGATCCTCCCGGGCTCTGGGCGGAACAGCTCGTCAAACCTTGCCTTGTCAGCTCCTTTGGCTGATCCGCGAAAGAAAGGCGGCCCAGGCTCGAAACGCCAAGATCACCTAATTAGGGCTCTCTTTTTTGTAGGGGTCCAAATAGCCCAATGTAGGTAATATAGGGTTAAGGGTTTAGGGTTTGGGATTTACACCAAGATCACCTGTAGGTTAGGGGTGTAGGGCTTAGGGATGTAGATCATCTGCGTTGAGTGGGAAATTTGGAGCTTGTTGGGTTGTATAGGGGTCCAAATAGCCCAATGTAGGAGGGATAATGGAAAAGAAAGTGGTAACTACAACAATGGGGCTATATAGGGTCTAGGGCTTAGGGTCCAGATAGCCCAATGCAGGTACCATTTACAGACTCTGGGGCCCAATGTAGGTAGGTATTGTTTGTATACTTGCATTTTCAGGTTTAGGTTTAGAGGTTCGGCTTTCTAGGTTGTAAGGTTCAAGGGCTTGAGATTAAAGATTCAGGAGTTGTGACCTCCTGTAGTTCAGGGTTTGCCTTGACGTGGTCCAGAAGCGATCCTAAAACCTAAACCGTAACCCTACAAACCTAAACCCTAAACCCTAAAAACCTAAACCCTTAACCCTAAAAACCTGAACCCTTAACCCTGAACCCTAAAATGTCAAGCAGCAAGGCATGGTCGAGCGCATCATGCAGTTCGACATGCTGCTATCGTCCAGTTGTGACTGGGAAGTTTCGGGCATTCATCCACCCACCACGTCTGGGGGTGTTTAGGGGTTGAGGATTAGGGTTAAACCCTAAACTCAGAAAGGTCCATAGTGGTAAACAAAAACACAACTACATCTCAACCAGCATCGAGACTTTTGCCCAGGCTGTGGGAAGGGCATTAGATTCCCTAGAAACATGCGTAAAATTATTTGGCGATTATACAGAGGTTATTCTGGGTCTTTACAGGGGATCGAATTTTCAATTCAAGCCATTGGCTGGGGTCGACCTGCGCCATCGAGGTCAAGCAAAAGCGTCAGGGGCTTGCAGGTTTACAGGGTTTAGATGGGAATGCAAAACGTTGCAGCGAAGAAACATCAAGTGGGCCCGTAAAATGGCAAATTGGAAATGTTAACCCCCTCACCGAAAGAGTTAATGCAACATGCCACCTCGTACTGATACAAAATCCCTGCGTAGTACCGTTAAGTGCTAGCCTAGCTCACTCCTTCATGTAGCGAAAGATCCAGGATCCGTCATGCTGAAAAGGGGATATTGCTATAACATGCTACAGCTACAACTGCGACTAAAAAGCAGATTCATGTATGTTAGCGTTGGGTTGTACGTATAACAGAACTTTACACAAGTAAACTCACAATGCCCCAGAAACGGCACGAGTTGGTAGTGTGGCGTGCCTGCGTCGCCAAAACACCGTAGGCCTTTTCAAAACAGCGCCATAATTTTGACAACGGCATAATATGAACTGCATATAGTTTTGCTTTCAATAAGAAAATCACACACAAACCGGATCTAATTACGTCCTTTTGGATGTTCTTTCGATTGTTTGTACAACCGACACAAACCCTAAAGCCAAACTCCATAGACCACAGGCCACAATCAACCGGGACTTTCAGATAAGCATGGAAGTACATACATCAAGATGTGAACCACAAATACCTCTCAATCAGATCCCATGCCGTACTGTGCGCTGCAGCGACTCTGCAATCCGATCCTCGTCCTTCTGTCAATGCGCTTGGTAAGCTGCATTCATGCGCTCATTCAGCGCTCCAGTCACTGCGCCGCCGAATTAGTCAGACCTCATGATGCGCCGGCTGATCGAAGAGCACAGAAGGCCTTCTTCAAGTCTTTGATACCGCTCTGGCATCCTGTTACCGCACTGAAGCACCATTTTGTGCCCTTAATGAAATTCGGACACCGTCCTAAACATCTCCTGATCAGCCCAACTCAAATGCACAAAAAGGGTGCTTCTCTTTTATCTGCACAGGGTCTCCTTAGTGCAACCCGCGTAACCCTTATTGGAGAGGCAGCGATTCTGAACTTGGTAGCATTACATAATCCTATCCATGTGTTCTAGACACAACACCCCAAAAAAACATTTGGGTTCGGGCACAGTTTGGGGTCAATGTCAAATACAGCACAAGCACGATGCGATGTGCATGATCCCCAAACACTCCTAAAGCCACACATCCTGCCAAATGGGAAACTCTCAAAAATAGTGTACCCCTAGAGAAACCCGGGGTACACTGGGATACTACAGGGATTATGCGGGTGCTCGTTTTGGATTCTCTAGGCCTAATTGAACAACTTCTACATGGTCTTGAATTGGGATCCTTGTCCCGCAAATTAAAGATCACACAACTCTTACATGAGCCATTGTCTAAACTCCTAGTCTCCCCCTTACTAATAACCCCTATAGTAGTCCCCTACACAAAAACCCTAAATAAATCCATATAAATCCATTTAAGGAGTTTAGACTATAGCACACATCATCCCTAGGGAAGAAGAGGGGATCAAGGTTCAGGACGCACTCCTTCGGAGTCCCAAGGCTTAATTAGACAAGCTGTGCAGGCCGTCGACCGTTCCAACGCGAAGCCCTAAACCCTAATCCCTGATCCCTAAACACGGATCCCTAAACACTAATCCCTAAACCCTAATCCCTAAACCCTAATCCCTAAGCCCTTATCCCTCAACCCCAGACAACTTTGTGGTTCCAGCCTGCATCTGCCAAAATACCGAACCCCAAAACTCACAAGCTCAATCCCTGAGACCTAAACGCTCAATTCCCCCAAGACCTCAATCCCTGAAGCTCTAAACCCTAAACCCTAAACTCTAAACCCAGACCATGGATTCCTGGATCCTAAACTCTGCTCAATGCTAGGATCTGGGCTCAGACGCCAGAGTCTAGGTTCCTCATGAAGGCTTTGGGCCTGGGCTCCGATTCTATGAGGTTTCAGAGCATTCGGGACTAGGTCTTTGGGTAATCCTCTGCATACAGAACCCCCCCCTATGACGATAACCCCACATAATACCCAATACGCAAGCAATTAAAAATATAGGATTGAGGGTTCCGGGCCTTGTCTCTAAGCTGGAAACCATAGGCCCCCAGCATCGGCCCTGATTTCTGGGATCCTTATATACCCACTATATACCCTAAATGTACCCATGCCGTAAGGGTCCCTAGAACCTACCTGAAAGGCTTAAGGGCCCTAAACCCTGAACCCTCAACCGCGTTACAGAGTTGGGATCTGTGTGGCAAGCACCTATGTCTTTACGGGGGCGGGGTTCATGTGAGGTATAGCCTAAATAAAGTCTAGGTATCCCCCTTAATAAGTCCCATAATGCTTCTCTATATAATCCCCCATATTACCCCTCTGTATGGAGTTTGGACTATAGCTCATGTACGGGCTAGGGTAGGTTTGAGAGCCCTGTAATCATGGCTTTGTATGGGTTACATTCGGGGCAATAGTAAAAAATGTGATGTCCAAGCCTACCCCTGTGGAGTAGATGCAGGAAAAATGATAACTCGTAATGTTGAGACAATTGAGTCAGTGAAGGATGACCCTACATCCAGGTTTGGCGCTTGTTTCGGGCTTGGGGTTTAAAGCTCTTGGGGTTTAAGGCTCTTGGGGAGGAGGCGACTCAAGTGTTCCAAGGATCAATGAACCGCAAATATTCAAGTGCCTGCCGGGCTTTGCTGGCTCCTGCCCACTGGGTTTGTGCAGGCGGCACTGGGTATAAAACCCGAAAGTCCTGAAAACTTTGATAACTGCAATCAGAACAAAGTGGGACTGGTATATGGTGCTATTCTTATTAGGTACTTGGACTTTCAGGAATATGTGGGTATTCCCCCGAGCGGTGCTCTCCCTCATCTACTCCACATTGTGATTAATCCATATCACCCGAAATGGATACCCTTAGTTTCTGGAAACCTCGACGTGCTGGGAGCCCAGCGATGCACTTGCTCACAAATTCGTCACGGTCCAGACCGGCAAACAGCCCTGCTCCTGAACCGCGCCAAACTCCTGTGCCATGCTTTGGAACTATTCTTTGAACTTGAACCACCAATCAAGCACATTCATAGCCTCCAGTACAACCTAAAACACGGCCCTCGAAGAGAAACTCTCGTACAGGCCGCTTTGGGGTTGAGTTCAGGTGTGGGCAGTACAGCCTCTCACGCAGTTCAGAGTTTCGGGTTACGGTTGAGGCCTGTAAGAGTCCAAAGCGTCAGGAAATTGGAGTAAGAGTTCTTGGTCAAACCTGCGACTGCGTCAGCTCCCCAGCATCTTGACGGACCTAAAGCAAATAACCTTGAGCCTTTCTTTGCAAATTGGAAGGCTCTCTAGCTTAAAAATCCTTTCAGAATTCAGGGGCCTCCCTGACCAGCCTCCGTGAACAAACAATTGCATTGCAACTCTCCAGAATCGTGGCATAGTGCTGGCCCAAACAGACCCTCACCCTCACGGGGCCTAAACAGCTATCAATCTCATTCCGAGGTACCCTCTACCGGAGCTTTGCAGGGAATTCAGGAGAAACACACCGACAATTACAGTATTACGGCCTTTACCCTCAGCTATCTGAGTGCGGCGATGCCTCCAACCAAGTCCATTGCATGTGATTCTGCAGTGCCTCTTGTCTGAGCCTCAGCTGTGTCACCGGCGGCATCGCTTCATATGGGGCGTCCTAAATCAGAAGTCCCTGCCCCGGAACCCTTTCAAAACTCATGCTTCTGCAATGCTTTGCAGGGAGCCCGTGGAATAGGAGTGTCCTTAGCATGCCATTTGTCCCCATGGTGGTCTGGGATGCTCCCAGAAAAGGATCTGTTGGTAACCATCTTAAAATTTAGCGGCTGCACAGCTTTGATGGGTTAGATGCCGACTGGTTCAACGCGTCTCATTCGTGTGAAGATTTCGCCGCTTTCACCTCAATACGACATACATAACACGGCAAGAATCATAGACATCGTAGATATCAGGGCTGCCATGCCAGACCGGTCTCAGATTGGCCCTAGGGCTTAGCGAGCATCAAGGTTACGGTTTTGGGCTTTACCTCCTTTGAGAGGACCATGGGATTTTGGGTTCCATGCTATTTTTAGGGCGACGTACGTGCACTCAAAGCCTAAACAAAGATTCAGTCGAAGCTTGAGACAAGCGTCAAGCAAAAGGCAACCATCCGTGGAAAGCTGCCTCTGCCGATGCTGAGCAGTCGTGTATTTCAGGCTATGCGAGTTATTGAAAAAAGAATGGTACGGTAACGTTGCTACTGACTCTAGATCCATGATGTGGTGATGCGGAAAAACAGTTCATTGCAAGGATTGTATGAACTATGTGTGCCTTCTGTCTAGACCAAATAGGTCCGGCGGCAAAGCTATATAACTCCAGCATAGCACCCGCCACTTATGAGGGGACATGATGCCAGGGTCTTTTGGTGCCATGCACAGGCCTTTTATCACTGATTCGTCCGACTAACACTGAATCCTCAACTGCCACTTAGACTCGAATTGACCAAATAACCCAACAACATGCATCTGCCGCAAAGTCTTGCACCAAAAGCAACATTCATGAAGTTACAGGGAGACTTTGCAGAATGGCATGGTTGGGGAACCCATGAAACATACAACATGTTGGCAAAGCAGCCCAAATCCCGTGTGTGCATATGTATGTGTAGATATATATATATATATACATATACCTACGTCCCTATGTAACCCTAGATATTGTCCAATAGAGAAGCATCGGGCGTATCTTGATCCTGTTATGGTGATGGGGAAATCCATATTCCTTTATCAACCTGGAATCGAATGTATGATATGCCAGAAGTCTTGAACGACTTCAAACTGCACCCAGGCCCCAAACGTGAAAGTCCTTGATTGGACTAAAATCCCTATATCGATATACCTCTTCCACTCCAGCCCTAGTTGGCCGGCAGAGATACTTCTTCCACTTCGAACCCTCCGTTGGCTGCTTTGGCACTGTTTCCGAAAGACGGCCGACTTCGGAATCCAGGCCAGTTCGGTTCCAAGTTCTGGGCTGCAACTTCAGGAGCAAAATGCATGCCCCAAATATCCCAAATCTACGCACTGCGGAGATGGGCAGTAGCAGTTGTTGCACAGGTTTTGGGCAAGTAGTTCTATGGTTATTGAGTCTTGGGATGTGTTTTTCGTGTTGTGAGGTTGATGGGGTCTGGGGTTCAGGTGGGTTGAGGTATAGGGGTTACCTTCAGGCTGATGGAGTCTAGTGTTTAGGGTTGATGGAGGGCAGTGTCAAGTAGGAATCCGAAAGGGTTATCTCTAGCTGACCAAATGCCCAAATGCTTCACACTGAGCCCACAAGCTGACCGCGTTGGACCGAGGTGCAGGATCTCCCAAAGAGACTAATGATTTCAAATAAGGGCGGCCTCAACGTGGGCCCCAAGATACAATACACTCCTCATGGCAGCGACTCCCTGAAGTCGCCTTGTTTTTCACACCCCAAGTAATTTGTTCAAGAGCAGATGAGGCTCGGATCAATTTTGACTGCTCTGCAAGGAAAGTGCCCACTAAAGCTCTTCTAACACTTTGATGATGACAACAGCAAGGCTGAAGACTACCATGACGATAGCAACGGTGATGGGGGTGATGATGATCACGACGATGAGATGCTGGAGGCAGTGGTGGGGGTGGTGGCGGCGGCGGCCGCCGCGGTGGCGGTGATGGTGCTCGTTGGAAGTGAATGGCTTCCAAAACCTGCTAACGAATGAGGAAACTGCTAGTGCCTTATTGCCAGACATTCATAATTTGAGTAAAACACAAAAAAGCGCAGGGTAGCGGCACCGTGCAGGTAAAATCACGCCATGGCACTTCGCGCTTCATCCTGCAGCATGTCTACCTGAGAAAAACGGAAACGGGATGCGACTCTTGGAGCGAGCTGCTGTGATCTCAAAGAATTTTAGTGCCAGATCGGTTCTACATACAACCCAAAAGCTGAAGTGAAGGCCATCTATCAAATTGCTAGGCAGAAGAACGGCTCTTGTCCAATTCCTATAACGTATCATAGAAGCTTTCCGATATAGCTTGTGATATCTTGCTGCATGAGGTTGCTAGCCTAAAGAACTCCCCCACCCCACCACCCCACCACCAAGGCTGATAAAAGTCTGCAGCAGGGAGCGGATCCTCGCTTAAAAGAGGGGTCCTTCGGGGCGCATTGGCAATTATTCCCAGGATTGCACTAATTGCACCTTTATTCGCCCATCCCAGGAAACAAAAAAAAAAAACAAGGACTCTTTTCTGAGCTAGCAACTGCAGTAATTGAAAGGAACATGCATCGTCAGCGTCCTTGGTCTAGCGTCCAGGGGTCTGGTCTAGCAGGCTCCTGCGAAAGAGTCCTTGCAATAAGTCTCGTAACATACTAGCCAGTCCTACCATGACAGGCCGGAGCGAGCATGGAAGATGCAAAGGGACGCCTTATAGGAGACTGTTCTGTGTAGGAGGGGCTGTTGGGGTTTTTAATGACCCCCCAGGAAAAATCACGAATCAATGTCAAAGCCGGAGGCCTCAAATCTTAACATTTTGCTTGAACTAAGGGAGAATACGTCGCTTTCGGAATCAAATTCGAATTTAAGACTTCCTTGGTTCTTACATCTTGCAGCTTTAGTATTGTTATAAGTAAATTATAATGCGTTCCAGGACAAAACATTATAACCACAATTGAATTCCAGACGAAACAAACCAGGTTTGAGTGATTTAACGAATATCCGCCGGAATGGCATATACTATTTTGGGGACAAACATTTCATGCTTGGTTGGGAGGGCGTCTCATGATTGGGGAGACGCGCTAACCTGATCATGCTTTGCCGGGAATGGAAGAACTCCTAGGCCCTAAACTCTAAATCCTGAACTGGCTACATGGAGGTTAGTAAGACTTACCCAGACCCCCTCATGAATCCCAACAATGGAACCCAGCAAAATGACCCATTGCAAAGTATCTTGGGAAACTTAGGAGAGTAAATAAACTGATGGAGGTTTGTTTTTCTTGATCCTTCTCAGGGGTCTGTGTAGTGGTCGACCTCACCCAGCCCGTTTAGAGGGGAACTAGTACTGGGGCTATAGAATCTCAATGAAATTCATATGGCCCAATGTAGGTAATATCTACAGAATTTGGGGTCTAGTGTTCAGGCCCAATGCAGGTAATATTTACAGAATTTAGTGTTCAGGCCCAATGCAGGTAATATTTACAGAATTTAGGGCCCAATGTCCGTAGCAAATGTATACTTGTTCTCACAATCCTGAGGACCGCAGCCCCCTGCCCTCAAGCCAAAACAGACTGCAACACAGAAACCTTGAAATGATCTTGGATTCCTAACATCAATCCTAAACCCTGAACCCTTAAACCCTAAACCCCTAATGCCTAACCCCTAAACCCCTGAATCCCAAACCCCTTAGACCTAAACCTTAAACTCCTTAACCCCCTAACCCTCGAAGCCATGGCTGCTCCAGCATTGAAGTCGCCAGCAGCAAGCAGCGGAAGGGAGGACCAGCCTCGAAGTCGTGGCGTTTGCCCTCCCCAGAACGAACAGTACCTAACATATATTAAAGTATATTCTAATATATTATGGTATGCTATAGTATACTTTAACACAACCTAATATATTACAGTATATTCTAGTACATTCAAGAGAGTGCTTTTTTGGTTTAATGGTTTTGTTTGTGCAACGTCTCTTTTCCTCTGTGCGGCAGCGGTTTAGGGTTATAGGGGCTATGTACATATTCTAGATTTAGGGTGCCCATATACAAATAGCTGCTTCGAGTATTAAATATAGGCCATACGGAAGCTTCGGGATATTCAGGCCGAAAATAGGCCCACAAAAACAAACGTCTTTTCAAGAGGGGGCCCCTATGGGTTTCATGGTTAAGGAATCCGCTAGCGCTCTCAAAGTGTCAAAGTCTACTGCAACCACCAAAGTTTGTGTGGTAACCTTCGCTTGCTCAGGGCCGAAGATGCAAAACAACTACCATCAACCGCAATTTTCTTCAGGCTTGCGGTTGTTGGCTAGTTTTGTACTTGCCTTCTTTTTTTGGATACTCAGCTGGCCCAAAGCGGGACCCGGTAAACATAGGCTATCTCTCGACTTGGGTCTGCCACCTAAAGCGTAAATGTTCAAAAACAAACTTTCCGGCTACCCGAGTCATCTGACCGATTGAACCCCACGTGCAAAACCCTCACGCTTCAGCCCCAAGCACGCCACCCCATAATGTAGAGGCCTAAATAATGACCAACGCCATCTTGAGGTGCATTTGGAGTAGGTCCATTTGGCGTACCCTGTACCTTGGTCATGCAGGGAACCCAAGACCATAAGATTTGGCAATTCGTGCCGTGAAACCACATGCAATCCCAGTTTCCATTTGATCTGCTGTACTATTTTCCATTATCACCCCAAAAATATACCGAACCAAACCACCCCTAAAGCCTAAATTCTAAGCCTAAACCCTAAACCCTAGACCCTACGTTGCCAAACCAGGGTTTGAAACCACTGGGCCAGGAAGTCGCCGAAGGAAAGCTTTGGCGGATTCTATCGCCTCGCCTGGGCAGGACTCAGCTGGGCTGTATCCTTTGTAGTCAGTTCTTCTCGGGGGGAATATAGGACACGAGGGCCGTAGAGGCGCGTAGGGATATATAAGGTCACATAGGGTTGAGGGCTCTTATGTTGTTGTTTTGAGGTTTGTTCTGGTTTTTGTGATAAAGGATTCTAGTTTACTACCAAAAAAGGAGCCAAATCGGAGCGCTTGGGTAGGGTTTGTTTGGGGTTGAAGGCTCGTACGGGCGGAGGGCTCATGGCTTGCAAGCTTGCAGGGCTGAGGATGTAGCGAAGGCTGATACCCCACCCGCGTTCTGCGGCGCCAAGCTTCATAAGTTCAATAACGCGCAGCTACTTACTAAGCAGTGCGCCGTACGCCTCTGGGTAGGGTACGGTTAACACTGGAAATCCTGCATGACCTTATAACAGCCACCCTAGACCGTGTGAATTATGCTAGCAGTACACCAGGGTCACGCAGGAATTTTATCTTCAGCCATGTGGCCGTATGAGCTACCACCAATATTTTGATAATCATATTGGACATGGGTCCTTTTGGACAAGAACTTGGGGACGACGCCAAACTAACGAAACTCGGCCCCCTCTGTCCCTTGGCAGGTCTAGCGAATTAATTAACTTATACGGGGTGCGTAATGTAGTTTTCGAAAAGCATGGCTCAGCCAGCGCTCGCAGTTGAAGTTTGTCTGAAAAAGCAATGATCCACTGGGAGGTGCTGTAACTAGGGAAAGCCCCGTCATGGATCCCAATATACAGTTGTCCTTCCTTTCCTCCACTTGAGTGTTGGAGCCACCATTTCTGATTTACAACACCTGAGCTCCACCTTTCCAAAGCAGGATGGCGTACTTTCAAGGCAAATCTCGGGTTGGAAATCCCTACGTGACACGGACTATCCTCTGGCCAAAAAGGCTTAAGCTGGCTCTCCGCAAACCAAGACGGGTGTGGAGGTCTGAGGTCTTGAGCCGCCAGCTAACAATGCAAGGACCTCATCATGTGCAACGCTTCCACTGTTCCCTCGCTGCGTCATCTACTGCATCCCTTGACCACCGCTTTTTTTTACTTTTGTGGATACGCGTTAAGCATGCAGCCATCGGAGATTTTGATCCGAAAAAAGGGGCGTCCCCTTCGGGGTGAAACATTTGCGTTGCCTCATGTCAACCTCAGCACAGAAGGTGATTTGCGTCTGCACCTTTCCACGTGGCGACTGAAGATCTGACACTTTAAAATGGGAGCCAGCGAAACCGCTCGGAAGAGTCCTTGGAGCCGCAGCCGCGTCGGAAGATGCTAAGCTAGCACACTAAAGCAGAAGCTTGCTGAGATGCGGGTCCATTGTGGTGCAGGAGCTCCTACGGCAAACGTTCTGGAGCCTCGGGAATTCCTGCGCAAGCTTCGGTGCAGGAATTGGTTCGCGGGTGCACGTTTTCACCGGCCTTGTTCTTCCTTGGGTTGTTTGTCCACATCTTCCTGTTTGGGTTCCTCCGTGTCCATGTCCGCCATGTCGGGCACCTGAAGCGGCTTTTGCGCTCGACATAGCATGCTGGCAAATGCACAGATGCATGCAACGCCTCCTCGCGGAGGTCGAGGTCCCGAGGTAGCGGTGGAGAGAAGTACCCTAGGCGACGCCGCTGGCGAGTCGAAAGTTCATGTTGATCTCACAACACGGGCCTTCACGGAAGCATGCTGAGACGCCCGCTTGAAACAAAGCGAAGGGTTAACTCTTGTTAATTGACTGGTCACTGCGCGCCGCTCCTCAGGTTCCCAGCGAAGTGGCAAGCAACAGAGTCTTTTTTATGATCCTTCTGTAGGGCAAGGAATCATTGGGTATCGAGCCCCCTGCCCCCAAACAGACGTACCCTAAATCTTCATGAACCGTAAACCTTTTAACCCTAAACCTAGCCGTCCTGACCTGAACCATATTGTCCACGGAGGCGCTTGTCCCCTGTCCCTTTTTGGATTAGGGTTTAGGGTTGTGGGAGGTTACTCTTCCAGCAGAAACGAGCACAATACCCCAACATGGTATACTATCAGGCTGATAGCATCAGCTACGAATAAAGTTCGGAGTCCTAAAAGCCTCTGAGGCACCTCAGCGAAATAACCCAAATAGCCCTGCTAAATAATTACCAATCATGGTAGCTTTTGACCCCAGCATACTATCATGCGGCTGTGGACCATCTCAGTATATATGCTCCCCCCCACATTTTCGGGGCCTTGCTTGGGATGTTACAGCGCATTAAGGTAAATTAAGCCTCATTCGTCTGGGCCGGCCCATGGTAGGTAGTCGTGTGAATCTATGCAAGAC